CCACACAAAGCCTCTCCCATCAGCCCAAACCAAGTCACCGAGACACAGCAGCCGCCGAGTGCAAAACCAGGGTCTTTTATTAGAAATCTCCTCGTATAAAAATCATCATGCTCTACACAGTCATCGAATAATTCATAAACATCCAGGCACTGAACTTTGTTTTTTTTGTGTGTTTTTGTTTTTTGACTGGTCAGTACATAAAGCAGACGTATTTCAATCCATATGGTCATCACATACATTAAGGAACCACCTATAGAAATCAGCACTTTGAACACAGTCTAGGTTTTATTTTATTTTATTTTGATGTCTGTTCTTTTTTATGTAAATTTTATGTATTTTTATTTACTTTTCCTTTTTGCAACATATAGAATTTGGTAGAATATGGGGAGAGAGTGAAGAAGGATGGAGGAAGACAGGAACGAAAGAAAATGGAGGATAAAAAAAACTAAAGAGAAAACAGAAGGTTCTGCACAACCACAAACAACCTCACAAATTCCAGAAAAGGGAAAACGTTGGGTCTCATCTTCTTTTTTTGCCAAAATACAGAAAAAAAACCCCAGAGACGTGCCGAAGTCCATCACCTGTTCCCCGCACTCCGTGCCCTGCTGCGCTGTTCCCCTCCCCGTGGGAGCCATGCACCGGCGCGTGGGCGCTGGGAGAGCTGGATTGTTCTTCATGGATTTTTTGCTGCTGCTGATGGCCGTTTTCCCAGGAGCTCTGCCCTGCAGGAGGAGTCCCCTGGCCGCACCTCCCCGTCCGTCCCGTCCCGGCGAGGAGCGGCTGGCTCAGCTCCCTCGGCCGCGGTGCCTCCGCTCCTGGCGCTAAATCGCGTGGTTGCTGTAGCTGACGTAGGTCTGTTTGGTGGCCAGTGCTGGAAGGAGAGACAGAGCTCACATGGACCATCGGCACAGCCCACGCTCCCCTTCTGGCTCCCGTCCCCGTGCCCCGACCGTTGTGCCAGGTGATGCTGGCAGGGATGTGGCACAGGGTGTGCTCCTTCCCTGCGAGGGCACTGAGCTGTGGCAGAGGGGCTGAGCCCCACAGCAGCTCATCAGTGCTCTCTGAAGACAGTCCATCCTGAAGAGAGACCCAGAGATGGGGCAGGAGCTGTGGGAAGGTGCTCTCAGGCTCCCATTCCCTTCCCTCAGCAGTCTCCAGACAGCTGTGCTGCTGCCATGGAGGGTATGATGCTCTGCAGAGATCCCCCACGAGGTGCCCAGGTACCAGGGGTCTCACGGGCACATGGGCACACTCCAGCCAAGGACATGGACAGGAGCTGGCACAGACAGCAAAGTCTGGGACACCCTGAGGAGCACAAACGTGTCCCCTGCAGGGACCATCCTTGTGGCACCACACAGAGGGGACACCCGGCAGTACACTGTGCCTTGCTGACAACCAAACCTTGCTGCAGGTTTCCAGCTGGTGTTCCCAGATAACAATTAGATAGAGCAGAAGAAATCAGAGCTGACAGAGCTATTTGTTAGCCGCGATGTTTTCGTAGCCGATCTGCCCATATCAAAGGCCTGTGAATTATTTATTCTGTTGTTTATTTAAGGGTACGTGACCCGCAGTGACAGAGTGAGAAATGTCCCCCCTGTGCCTCTGCCCCCGGCGCTGCCGCCGTGCCCGTTCCCTGCCGGGCACACCTGGAGCGCTGCCCACCCTGCCCACGCCCCCAGCTCAGCCCTCCCTGCTCCCAGGACCATCCTCAGAGGATCCTGCCGTGAGGCCCCACAGGACCCACCTTACCTTGTGTTTCCAGGTTCTCGCAGAGCTCTGATTTGGCCTCTCCATTGGGGCGGAAACCTCCTTTCTGAGAGAACTTGTTGGACATGGTGGCTGCTGTCACCACCGCCTTGAGACTCCGCTTGCGCTTAGGGACGTTCTGCTCCGGGTGGAAGAGGATGATGTACACCTTGGGCATGTAGAGCATGCCCAGGGACACCGAGGCACTCAGACTCACTGAGATGGTGAGTGTCGTGGTCTGGATGTACATCTGCAAGACACAAGGGCATGAGCTGAGACCCATCGCAGCTCAACGGGATCCAAAAGGGTCAGCTTGGAGAGGAGGAAATGGGGGAACGCGGAACAGTCGGGGTTAAAGCAATGGAGTGGGGAGTCAGTGCTGGAAATGCTGGCACCATTGGACCTTAAACACGAGGCTTGATGCTCCACCAGCAGCAGGACAGGAGCTCTGGTGCTGTGGTGATGGGCACAGCAGGGACACCCACTCCCAGGGCAGCCCCGCTCCCCATCTCCCTTCAACAGGTACTTCCCATTCCCCAGCTGGCTCCTGGGCCCTTGTCATGTAAGTCACATATTACACACCGACGTTGCCTTTCTGCAGTCAAAACTAATTTCACGCTCACTGTCCAGGACTAACGGTGACAGATGTTTTGCAAAATGAAAGCCCATTAATCTGACTGTAGAATAATCCATTTTTCTATGGAGAGCGTTTGGCAGGCTCCTCACAAGCCGGGGGCATCTGAAGCAGGAGGCGAGGAGACCCCCTCCCTCTGCCCACCCCACCTCTCGGGGTGGCTGCGAGGGCAAGTCCCTGCTCCATGGGCTCCATCCTCTCCACCACACAGCTCATGTGCTGAGCCTCTGGGGCTGAGCAGGGAGGGCACTCTGGGCCTCCAGATGCCTTTGCACACCTGTTTTGCAGGTCACTGACAAGGTTTTAGAAGGAGCCTTAAAGCAGTTCCTGAACTTCACGGATGACTCCGTCTCAGAGCACAGTGTCCAGGGATTCTCCTGCAGGTGTTTCACATGTGGGATTTGATGCTGTGAGGAGGCAGGACCTGGAGGAGCCAGGGAAGCCCAGGGGCTGTGGCAGTAGCCTCTTCCCCAGGGACACACACAGCACCTGGGGCCTGTTTCTGAAGCAAGAAGTGATGGGGGCAGACGCCAAGGCAGGGACTCCGCACAGCTCCATGGGCAGAGGCACATGGAGCAGCTCTCCATCCCAAGGGTCAGAGCTGGGGGGAGACAGCTGCTCCCAGACAGGTCTGACAGCCTCCCCAGGACCTGTGGGTCCTGAATGTGACCTGCAAAGCAAACCAAGCCATGGCCCAGAGCATTCCAACTCAGCCCCCGAAGGGAAATGCGGCAAAGCTTGTTCTGAGTCAACTGAAAATTTTGGTCTGTCCCCAGAATGGAACCTCCTGCTGTCACACGCGTCGCTTTGTTTGTTCCACCTTCCTTCTCTAGGCAGTTTTTGGAAATAAAAATGTCATTTCATCAAGCAAAGTCAAAACATATCTCTGTGCCAGAATATGTGTGCTTTTTTTTTTATTCCCTTCCCTTTTTATTCACTCCAACTCTCCAGACTCTGCCGTGGGTATTCTGGCCTGGCCTGGCACAAGGGCAGCACTGGGACCCCAACTCCAGGCACCCTAAGCCGTGCTGGACCCAGCAGGACTCTCCTCACACAGTGTGACCCCCGAGGGGCATAGCTGAGGCTCAGCACCCCTCATCTCCCCACTGCTCCTCAGCAATGCCTTTCCAAGGAGCCTCACTTTCCAATCCAGCAATTTCCATCTTTCATGCCTCTGCAACGACTCCCCCCAAGCCTTGGGACTCGGAGGCGTTTCAGCGAGGAGGGAGAGCAGCCAAGCTGAGCTCAAAGACGTCTCCGTGTTCCCCCCACGCGCCCAGACCAAGTTCCCAGCAGTGCCAGAGTCTCCCCTCTGCCAAGATCCCTGCTGGCACCAGCTCCCACACTCCTCCCTACTCTTTACCCTCCTGCAGCACTTCTGGGCTCTCACAGGGCCCTGGTGGTGACCTTCCCCCCACGATGCCCACGCCAGCCTCGCAGCTCTCTCAGCACAGCAAACCCCTCCACAGCTCAGAGAGGAGTATTTTTAGCCTGGAGCCCAAAGACAGCACTGAGCTCAGCTCAGTTAACCTTTTGCCACTGCAAAAAATGACCATTTCTCTTGATTTCAGTTCATACCCTCTTAACTGGTTCCCAGCCCAGGACTCTGTTTTGCCCCTCAGTTAACAACACTTGAGCTTCCTCCGGAGCCCTCGGCGGTGTGTGCTGTGGTTATTGGGGGAGTTCCAGCTCCTGGCCTGGCAGCACCTGCTGCCTCCTGGGCAGGACCAAAGGGCACAGCCAGCTCTGACTCAGGACGATGACCCTGCGTCGAGTGACCACTGTAGCCCGAGGTGACCCTGCACGAGCCCCAGGCCCAGCGCAGTGCCCAACCTTTGCCAGGGCCGGACGAGCCTGTCCTGCCAGAGGGAGCAGCCCAGGCTCAAGGCACAGCCCTGCGCAGACTGTGCTTGTCCCACAGCAAATCTCTGTGTTAACTGGGAGCTCTCCCCACTCTAAATCTGTGTCTCGCCCAGCTACGAGAGATTTTGTACCGCGGTGGGTGCCAGGGAAAGGCAAACCCGCTCACCCTCCTCCAGCACACTAAACACCACTGGACAGTCCCTCTCATTCCTTCCCTCTCCCTCTTTTCCCTCGCTGAAAGCAAATGTGATAAACAGGGAAGCAGACAATGACTCCACTGTTCCGCTGCCGCCTTATCAGCGCAGGAAATTGTCTCTTTCTTTAGATCCCTGTTATTGCTATTTCTGTAATCCGCCGGGATCGGCAGGGATAAGAGGTTCTTTTCAGAAAAGGCTTGGGGGACTTGTTACAGTAATATGCCACCTCCATGCAAAGTTGTGGGCACAAGGTAAAGTGAATTAGAATAAAAGCAGAGATTATTATCCAGCTTCTCCAGACCATGAGGCTGCAGCCTCAGCTGGGGCCGGAGCAGAGGTGCCAACAGTCTGGGGGTGCAGGTCTCCTCGGTGGCATCCTCAGGACTCCAGCCATGTTCTGAGGGAAGGACAACAGCCTGGCCAACACTCCTGGTGTTTCTTCTCCCAGGAGGGCAGACACTCCATGGAACCCGACAGGCCCTCGATCCTGGCAGTAGCAGGGTTAGGGTGAGAGGTTCCCTCCCCAGGCCCCTGGACGTATCCCATGGAGCATCCCAGCAGCACCAGCACCACACAGGGTGATGCCAAGATCAGTTCCTCCAGGTGTCATCCCACCCAGGGGGCACTTGGAGCCCGTTCCCACCACAGCAGAGCTGAGAGCCAGGCTGGAACCCCAAACCCCTCCAGGGGTCACTTGGCCGACTCAAGGCAGCGGCAAGGCTGCGAGACAGAGTTCTGCGTCCAAGGGGAGTTGGGAACATCACTTTTTCTGCCTCTAATCAGCTTGCTAGCAGCCTAATAACAGAGCAGCCCCGTGCATTACAACCCCCGACGTGAGGCACAGCCTATTGTGGAGCTGCTGCCTGACAGCAGCTTCGGCAGCCCTAAATTATCCCGTGACAAGCTGCAGTGAAGAGGTGAGCAACCTTGCGCATAATCTACAATCATTATCATTTCCATCTTTATTACCCACAGTATGCCAAGCACATTAAGGAGGCTTTCAGGGAGCTTTTGTTTTGCAATAATTTCTTAAAAAACCTGCTTTCTTGTTAGTATCTCCCCTGCCATCTCATCAAAATGGAAATGCTGCAAAAGGCTCCATTTATTTCCTTTAATTCTCCTTCACACTTCCAGCCAGCACCAGCTTGGTGAGACTCTTTGGTCGAGCCAAGGTTAAAGCTCCTGGGCAGCCCTTTGTGCTCCGGGGCTGGATGCTCTGAGCAGAGATAGTTCTCCAGGACATGGCAAACTCAGGTGTCCACAGCAAAAAGTCCCTCAGCAAACCTCCCCCAGCCCTTTGCAGCAGGTGTTCCCAAAAGTCTCAGCATCGTGAGGATACCTTCGGGGGGTCCAGAGAGGGACCGGGCGGTGGGTCACCCTGGGCTTTTCCAGGGAACAGTGACTCCAAGGTTTGTTTGTCAGAGCAGCTCTGGGCTGGCAGGCGTGAGCTGTTTGCGCTTGACATACAGGAGATGATTCTGTTTTGGCTGGCAGGCAAAGCATTCAGGAGATTTTTATTCTCTGTTCTTAATCCCTCACACTTCAGCATGGAGCCTCTTCCGGGCTGGCCTCGGTCCCATGGGAACTCAGCACTGGGGAAAGGTCCCTTTCCATGCAGAAATGGTGCTCATGACTCCAGGGACCTGGATCTTCCCTGGGGACTCATCCTGCCCCAGCCCACACAGCAGCAACCTGTGCTGCCCAGTGCTCCCATCGGAGAGGGGCAGCAGGGCCAGCAGAGCATGGAAAGCTCTTCCAGCCCCAATTCCCAAGCTGGCCAGGCCGCGGGGAAGAACTCCTTCCTGCCTAAGACCTGACAGCCTCTCTCAGCCCTGCTCCTCGCAGCCCACCACACACAGCCAGGCCTCTCCCCTCCTCCCTTACCTTTTCCGCCGACTGCGACGTCCCAAAAAATATCGGGATGAAGGCTAACCACACAATGCAAGTAGTGTACATGGTGAACCCGATGGGTTTGGCTTCGTTAAAGGTCTCCGGGACCCCGCGGGTCTTAATAGCATACACAGTGCAGGTGACCATGAGGAGCATGCTGTACCCGAGCAAACAGATGAGGGACAGGTCCGAAATGTCACATTTGAGGATGCCCCGGGCAAAGTGGGGGTTTGTAGTCCGCTGGTCCTCGTAGTCAATGACAGAGTGCGACGGGTCCACGATGAACCAGACGCAGACGCCGACGAGCTGCAGCGAGATGAGGCTGAAGGTGATGACCAGCTGGGAGGCAGGGCTGATGAACCGCGGGGCGCTCACCGACTTCTTGCCCTGCTCGAAGATGCGGTAGATGCGGTTGGTCTTGGTGAGCAGCGCGGCGTAGCTGATGCTCATGCCCAGCCCGAGGAAGATGCGTCGCAAGGAGCAGGTGCTCAGGTCGGGCTCGGCGATCATGAGGAAGGTGGTGGCGTAGCAGAGGAAGATTCCCGTCAGCAGGACGTAGCTCAGCTCCCGCCCCGATGCCTTAACGATGGGCGTATCGTTGTAGCGCACAAAGGTGATCACCACGAAGAGGGTGGCGATGATGCCCACGATGGCGATAAAGACAGGGACCACAGCCCAGGGCGAGCTCCACTCCAGCTTGATGATGGGGATGGGGGTGCAGCTGGTGTGGTTCTCGTTGGGCCGCTCGTTGAAGTGGCAGCGCTTGCAGTGGAACTCATCCAGCTGGTACTGGTAGCCGTCGCAGCGCTCGCAGTGCCAGCAGCAGGGAATGCCCTTCACCAGCTTCTTCCTCTCGCCCGGCTTGCAGGGCAGGCTGCAGATGGAGCTGGGGAGCTGGCTGCCGCCCCCAGGCCACAGCATGCTCTCCACCTGCGGGGGAGACAGCACCAGCCCCGCTGACGGTGTGCCAGGCCTGTGCCAGGCACCCCGGGGAACGGGGGCTGCCCTGCCCTGCCTCTGCTGTCAGCAGTGCTGCCTGGACCCAGCCCCTGACCCCATTGCATTGCTGCCCATACATCAGCACATCCCATGAAGGGTCACAGCCCAACCTGGCACGGGAACAGGGAGGTGGTGAAGCTCTCCATTGGCCTTTTGGGAAGATCAACACCAGAATCCCAAAATAAAGTCCCTCCTTCCCTGAGAAAATCCTGTCTGCGTGGTTCTGGCTTCTCTTTCCTGTCGGATGCCCAGAGTCCATGGGATACGGTCACACATGCTGGTGGGTCACCATAACTGAAGCACAAGTGTACATGGGGGACACCTTCCCCTCTGACTCCCCCCCGAGTCTGTCTGCCTGACTTTGCACCCTGAGCTCCCTGTCTCCTAGATCCTACACGGTGAGAAGAGAAACCTGCAGGACATTCCCCCTGGCACCAACCATGTGAAGCCCTGACTCAGCACCAGTGTTCCCCCTGGCACCGACCATGTGAAGCCCTGACTCAGCACCAGCCTGTCCCTGGCCTTACCTTGAGGTGCAGGTGGTCTGTCCACTGCCCAATGACTTTGTACTCAGGTGTGGAGTTCCTGATCTGGTACTGGTAGATGTCATAACGCCCTGGAGCATCTCCATTCTCATTGAACGTCACGGGAGTCCCACCAATGCCTGTGGGAAAGGTGGGGCTCAGCACCCACAGCACCCACAGCGTGGGGTGCCCTGGTGATGAGGTCCAAGGGGGTTCTAGTTTGATACTTCTCCCTTGCTGCTTCGTTTAAGAAAGGGGAGAAAGCAGCTTTAAAGTTAAATTGAGTGAAATCTGCAGATAAACACTAATGAAAGGAAGGAAGAGAAAAATCAAGCAAGAGGGAAGAATAAATGAAAGAGACACTGCAGAGGAGATCACAGGATGGAGATAAATAGAAGTAATAAGGGGACAAGACAGAAAATGTTTATTAAGGAGATCGAGCAGTGGAAAAGATGCGTTTCCAGAGGAGACCTAAGACAGACAAGGACAGAGCAGTGGAATTCAGCGGGACCTCTGCCAGGCAGCAGGCAAGGAGGCAGCGGGAGGAGAGGGCAAGGGAAGAGGCTGGGCAGGACAGCAGGGTGAGGGCAGGACAGCAGGTGAGGGCAGGGCGAGGGCAGGATGGCAGAGTGAGGCCAGGGTTGCTGCTGGGTTATGTTCCCAGGAGATGTGGAAGCTCAGACCTCCTCATCTGCTGATCTGCTGCAAACCCACCCCATCTCTGCATCCCACAGCTGCAGTGTGGCCAGTGCCAGATGGCAACGTGAATGAATTGTGGGTGCTGCAGTGTGACCCGTAACGGGGGACAAGCAGAGACCCCCAGGGCCGACAGACCTGAGAAGTTGACGCTGCGGATGTACTTGAGCAGCTCCACACCATCCACCGGGTCCATCTTGGGGCACAGCCCGACCTTGCCAGGACACAGGTTCTTGTGCATGTTGTGCAGCGCGTGCCCCATGGCATAGACAGCGTCGATGACAAACTGCACCTTCCCCTCCTGCTCGTACGAGGAGTCCTGGCCGATCCGCTCGCGGTCTGTGGGTACAGACAGGGCAGAGAGCCATCTCCCCGCGCCCCGACCGGCCCCCAGCAACGTGTCTGCTGCACCCAAACCCCTGCAGACAAGCTCTGGACTGGAGCAGCTGGAAACCACCCAGGCAGCATCCACCCCTGACTGCACATCCTCCCTCTCACTCCCAAAGCCTCTTGTCTCCCTGCTCCCCTCGTCACCCTCCTGCCTCGCCGGCCCCGCAGCCTCCCCAGCTCACAGGATCCTGCAGGGATCTGGCAATTACCAGTGACAGCTGCCTTCCTCCTGTCATCACCGCCCTTAATGGGACCAGAAACATGTTCATCACTTAGCAAAGACACTGATTCATGTAGCACACTGTTCATTACAGCTAAGAGAGTGTCTCCCATGGGGCACGGCCGCGACGGAGAGCCCTGACCTCTGCCCCTCCAGCCCTGCCTCCGTGGCCAGGCCGCAGCTCCCGGCAGTGGCCAGCGGGAAAGGAGGCTGTCAGGGAGGCGAGGGCAGGGCCTCCCTCCTCCGGAGAGGAGGCACATCCTAGAAAAGCCATGCAAGGGGGTCCAACTGGCTCCGCCGTGCTCGGACGTGCCTGATGCAAGGTGGGATCCGTGGGGACCAGACACACAGCCTGCCCAGGTGGGCACAGAACGGCACAAACGAGCGCTGTGTGCTCCACCCCTGCTGTGGGAGGGTGGGATGGAGCTGACACTGGATGTGGAACAAACCTGTGCCAAGAGGGAACAGCCCCCATGAGCTGTGCCGGAGGTCCCTGTGCCAGGAGGAGGTGATGTGTGCCACTGACACGACACTAAAGCGAATTGATAATGCACTGACCGACAGGAAAAGATGATATCACGTGTGCCACTGACATGACACTAAAGCGAATTGATAACACACTGACCGACAGGAAAAGATGATATCAGGGAGGTGAATTCATAGCCCATCCTTCAAAGTTCTAAAAACGCTTTTGGAACGTGGAGATTACTCATGCAAACCTCGCCAGGTGATCCCTCCTTCCACATTATTGACAGGAGCCATTAATCTTCCCCCTCAACTTCGGGCCCTTCCCCACATTCATCTCTGAAGGCACAGACAAGCCACTCTGTCTTGTCAAGATAATTACCCATTAAAAGAGGAGGTGTAATAGACTGTCCAGGGGAGCTGAGCCCCTGGGGATGGCCCTGCCACCACCCCAGCCCTGTCCTGCCCAGGGAACACATCGGGCAGCAGAGCTGGTCCCTTACAGCTCCTCAGATTCCCAATAGCCACCTCAGCCCCACACAGGTCCCAGGTTCCAACCCACTGCGCTGGCACAGGCTGTGGAGGTTGGATTTTCCTCCCAGACACCCGTGTGCCTTGCAGAGAGCACAGCCCTGCACGGTGAGAGATGCCAGCGCCGATGCCAAGGCTGAGCGCTGAGATAAGACATCCCTGGGGCTGTGTCTGTCTGTCTGTCTGTCGGCACCTTGCCTCAGGCCCCAGCTGCTTTCTCCAGACAGGAATTAGGCTGGTGCACAGCAGGGCAATGTGGAGCAGACAGCCGAGCCTCGTTCCCAACGTGGAGACAATAAATCTCTGCCAAACTCAAATAGATTAGGGCCACGAAAGGGATGTGACCCGCTGATTATAATAGCAGGGTCGTGCATCGTTCTACAGGGCTGGTAATTAATTTTCAAGTGCGTGACGAGGCTCTACAGCCCCCTCAGAGGAGGGACGCAGCTATCTTCTCCAGCAGTGGATGAGATGGGATTAGCATCAATTCCCATCACACCGCCCGTGCCAGCTTTTGGCAGGAGTTAATCAAAGTCCCTCACCGCAGTGTTCCAGGGAGCTGGGGATGGAGAATCCCTGATCTCATGGGTGCTGGTGGCACCTAGCACCCATGGCTCTGGTTTTGGGCTGGGTGAGCCCGTCCAGAGGCACAGTCCTCCCGCCAAGGATGCTCGTGGCAAAGATCTGATGAGTGCCAGGGCTGGTCTCAGGGTGACACAAGCAATTGCCACCAGGAGTTCCATCGCCCTAGCCCTCACCCCTCACCTTCCTCCCAGCCCTCCCATATGGGACTGGGAGCCATGAGCTGTCCTGTGCTGTGGTGGGATCCCCAGTTTGGGTTTTGGGGTGCAATAAGCAAACAAAGCCAGCGTTTCTCTGGGCATGTTGGGCTCTAGCCAAAGCTAAAGGAAACAGCCCCCAAAGGGCCATTTGCATCAGCACTGCAAGGCAGGAGCTCACAGATCTGCACGGGCAGGTGATTTGATTCACCATGCATTAGCTCCCCGCTCTATCTGCCAAGCAAATGCACAGGAGATGGTTTATTTGCTGACAAATTCAGGTAATTTAAAGACAGTTCCTAGGACATTTGCCATGTCGTGGTTTCAGCTGCCTCCACTGATACCTTAGCCCTGAAATATCACCCGTTTAAAAGCTAAGTCGCTGTGGAGATGAGGAGATCAGTGCTCACAGGGCCTGCTCATGCATCTCCTGGTGCCAAGGGTTTTGTGATGCACTCAGGAAGGATAAAGAGCTCTTGGGTACCCCAGGCCATGGCCACAGGCCAGTTTCCTTGCATGCCCTTGCTGCTTATCCAGCTCATGCTTATGCATTAGCCACAAGACTACCTGGGGAAGTTGCAGCACCAAAAAGCCCTTGCAGGCACAGAGAGGTGTCTCCAGATCATCCACTGAACGTTTGGGGAATGCCTGCAAGGACATGTGCAAGATGTGCAAGCACCATCCTGCTCATCCTCAACGGTGCAAGCAGGGGAAAGAAAACCTTAATGCTCAGACTCTCCAGGCATGGCCAGGTCCATCCACCCGATGGCACAGCACACATCTGCAGCTGTCCCTCCCAATGTCCCCAAGTCCTGCGTGTCGCAGCCCACGAGCTGCCGCGTCGTTATCTGTCTTCAGCCAGTGCCAGGCAGGCAGTAAATCTCTCCCATCTCTCAGTAAACATGTCACCTCCTCGAGCCTCCAACCATCACCTGACAGCAGCGCTGTCAGCAAGACAGATCCCCAGCTGCCTTGTTTACTGCAGCGTCCCTAAAGCCTCTTTTGGCTGGAAATGGCTAAAAATGCTCGGTGGGGGTTGAGGAGGGGGTTGGGGACCTGGGATTGGGCTCTGCTGGGTCCCCACCTGGCTTTGATGTTCAGTCAAAAAAACCACACTCACAACTGGGACTGCACCCCCCAGCTCCCCCACAGCAGCCCTGCAGCTCTTACTGGTGCACTTCTTGATGCTGCTGCCCTTCCTCAGCGCGTGCCGGCTCAGCTTGCAGTGGAAATTCTCCTCCCAGAACTCAGCAAACCAGATGTTTCGGCGGTTGTTGTCCAGCGTCCTGCTGGAGAAGTAGCGATCGAAACCTGCCCGGGGAAAAGGGGATGGAGGGAATAAACCCCTGAGAGGAGAGAGAGACGCGTAACATGTCCCCAAACTCCCCAGGCAGAGGGGAAGGAGGTCTCGTGAGTGATAGGGACACATCAGTGTGGTGGTGTCTGTCCAAGGTGACACTCGGGCAGAGCTGCAGGTGCCACACTCAGGGAACTCTCACTGCAAAACACAGAGACTCTCAGGGACATCGAGGGCAACAAGAAACACTTCTCTAGGTACATCAGTGACAAAAGCAGGAGTAGGGAAAACGTGGCACACAGATAATAAGCAGGTGATTGGTGGCAGCCAACAAAGCTTCACCAAGGGCAAATCAGATGGAACTGAAGGTCCCCTCCAACCCAAAGCATTCCGTGATCCCATGCTGATTTCACAGGCAAAGCCTGTGGAAGGGGCTGCTGTCAGGGCAGGTGCCTGGCCCAGGGGCGAGCTGAGTGGACCCACCAGGCACAGCCCCTTACCTCTGACAGAGACCCTCTTGGGCAGGATGGTGACAGAGCCCTCGGCCACCTCCTCCAGGTGCAGGACGGGGGCGATTTTGGAGCCCCAGCTGTCTGAGCCCATCCAGATGAAGTGCCCCGTCTGGTTCGCTCTCTTGGCTGCCTCCAGCACCCTTCTGTGGAGAGAGGCAGCAGGCTCTGGGGCACCAGCTCGGGTCCAGCCCCAGGGCAGTGGGAATCTGGTGTGGGGCAGGGCACAGAGCTGGTCTAAAGGCATAGACGAGAGCAAACGGTGCCACTCAGCTCCCACACCCTCCGCCCTCCCAGTCCTCCCAGCCCGGGCACACAGGCTGCTTCTCCCACCTCATTTGCATATTTGCTGACTCGTAATTGAATTTCCCCCTTAATTACCCAACATTAAGAAAAAAGAAAAATCAGGTTATGCCGCAGCAGGCAGGGAAAGCAGCAGCATAGAGAGCACGTGCACCCAGCCCCTCAGCATCCCAGGCCTTGGGAGAGAAACAGCCAGTGCCACCAGTGCCCAGGACGGAGCTAAACTGGGCTCTGCTGGGCTGAACCACACTGCTGAGTGGAGCTGGGAGCACGATGCCATCCGTGCTGCCAAGCACCCTCACCACGCCGGACACCCCTGCACACTCCTGCACGCTCTGCTGGTGTCAGCCAGAAACTCTGGGTCGGTGGATGGGCAGAGCACTCCTGGCTCCTCCGGGCTCTGCTCCCCGGGGCAGTGGGAGGCAGGTTGTGACTCACCCCCGTGTCGGAGCTGATCACTTCAAGTCCAGATGGTGTTTGCAACGCGTAATAAGGAAAAAAACCCATAGAAACCCAGCAGAGAGCGGAGACGAGATGGGAAGAGGCAGCGTGCGGTGGGAGCCGTGCCAGCTGCTCCGTGCTCATCCCAGGCTGCCCCAAGCTCCGGGTTCATCCTGCCCCAGGGCACTCACAGCCCACGTCCTGCCCTGGGCACCTCCAGCTGCCCACGGTCCCTGTGCGGGGCAGCACCAACCCAGGGCAGACCCAGGGTGCTCCTCGGGATCGCTGAGTTACACCCAGTCTGAGCCAGGCAGGAGTTCCACACCAGCCTTCCCAGGCCATCCTGCCCAGCAGCACGGCCCTGTGCCCCATCTCCCAGCTGGCACGAGGGTTGGGATCACAGGGGACTCCACACTGGGATAAAGCCAGGCAAGGTGCTGCAGAACTCCACTGCCCACAGCTGCAATCCCATTTGGATGGGGAATCGTTTCCAGGCCCCTGGTAGCAGGACCTGCCATTCACCCAGCGAGCTAAGTTCCCTTTCCCCCTCACCCCAGCCTGATGTCAGCCCTGCAGACATTTCTATTAGGGAAGGAGAAAAGAAACTGGGAGCGTTTGCACATCTGATGTAAACTGATTTAAACTCGCAGTTTACCCACATTTACATAATGTTTGCTGATTAATAAATTAGACACTTAGGAAATCAGGGGTGGCTCCATGTGAATCATTCTGCTCCATAAACAACAGAGCCGCAGACGCCTCTTCGCCTGCAGAGCAGCTCATCACCTCGAAGCGTGGCCACGGCCACGACCCTGCCAGGCAGCAGAGCAGCACTGGCTCCCCAAAAGGTGCCCCAGACCTGTTCCTGGCACACTGGGGCTGGGGCTGCACAGCAGAGAATAAGCAGTGCCTGGGTCCTGCTCCAGCCAGAGCTGACCAGCCCGTGGTGAAGCAGAAGGTCATGACAGCCAGAGCTTCCAAAATGATGGAGAGTGGATTTTCCCTCCGTGTGTGGCGGTGGCTGGATGGCAGTGACACGCCACACCCCGGAGTTTGGTCCTGGTCCGGCCACACTGCACAGAGCTACCTCTCCCTGCTGCAGACACGTCCCTCCCCCTGCCCTGACCCCAGCCAGGCCGACCCTCCGCACCTGATATCGTCCTCGTTGGCGAAGATGATGACTGCCCGTGCGTGGGACGTCTCCAGGAGGCGGCGGATGATCTTGTCAAACTCTCCCGGCTTGGGCTCCCTCGGGATCTTGACAGACTGGGCCACGCAGACCCCTCCTGCAGCACAGAGAGCCCTGGCACTGAGTGCCCATGCCCTGGGGACAGCCCCTCTCCCGGAGCTCCTCGGCCCAACGGGCAAACAGGGATCTCTCCAGCACACCCCCCAGGGCCAGGGGCTTGGCACTGCACCATCTCCTCAGCCCACCACCCCCAGACCTCCTGGCCACCTCACAACACCCCTGGGACAGCCCTCCCCTTACACCTCCTCTCCCAGGTTGCTGCTTTCACCCTTCCTCTCCCCCAGCTCAGCCCTTCTGCACCACCTTTCCCCCCATCCTACATCTCTGTAACCCCCTCTACCTCCCATCCACTCCTCTGGGTACCTCTCTGTGAGCCACAGCTGCATCACACCCCACACGTCCCGTGACAAACACATGGTCTAATCCTAGGAGCTCAGAAAGGATTTTCCAGCCATTCCTGAGCGCTAGCCCCTCTCCAGCCCAGGATCTGCAAAGAGTTCTGCACATGGAACGGCCAAACTCTGGCAAAACCAGCCCATGGGAAGAGCAGATGAGCCCTTAGCCACCAAGAGAGCAGCCAGGCCCTGCCGAGGGTTTTGCTCCCATCCCTGCAGCACCAGCTGAGCTCCAGCCCAGCTTTCCCAGGACCACTGGAAAAGCAGGTAATTAAAACTGAAAGAGACAAGGGGAAGTTGACAACTGACAGAGCCTCCCCCGTGGCTGCTGGGCTCCAGCTCCGCAAAGCCAGAGCCCTCCTGCTCCTGCACTTCTGCAGATGCCAATAAAGAGAGAGATGGGAGAGAAAATTAAACATTGCGGGGCCTTCTGGATGTAATTGATGGTCTCAATTTGCATAGTAAATGACACGGCTGATGCCTC